AATCTTCTTGTCTGAACCCAACTGCATCGACAAACTGATACTGGAAAGCATTCTTGGAGGCGATCCTGTTGAGATTGGCCAATACTGACTGGTTGACAAGAAAGGAAGTGATAACACTCACGTGTCGAGGAGATTACTGGAGTCGAGTCTACAATTAAAGTTTACGCTTGAAAATAATTTGAAAGATACTGACCAAGGATACATTGTCCAGAAGCTCTTGATGAGGAAACTGATAAGGGAAACGACTGATAGATATTGTGTGACTACTGATTCTGATTGCTGATCTCCGATGCATAGTATAGGTTAATCCACACTGAGACTACCAAGGGGATCCAAACTGATACCTTGGAGGTCTCTCAACTCTGCCAAAAGTTTTTTTGACCAAACTAAAGCCAATGATGCAAGGGAACTAATTGATGGTCATTGTTGGTGGTACCACTGAATGTATGAGCGCGAGTTGACACCTATTTTGAACTGGACATGAATGAACGAGGAATTTGTGATAGTTAATGTGCAGTTTCGTTTTATAGTCATTGAGGATTGCTCGATCTCAAAAGAAGAGACTGTACTATGCAGTTTTCCATCGGATCCATAGGTATAGAAAACATAATCGATAAACTCGTGACAATCTCTTACTTTTCAGACTATAGTTTCTCTCAACGTCTTTCTGCAAATTTTAACCTCATTAAGCATTTGGCTTCCTCCTCTTTTTACCAAGTCCTGGTAGAGGGTACTGGACATCACTAGGATGTGTTTGTTCCCTATGCCATTTTCCTTTTTTCCAACCTTTAGTTATCTTAGGTTCAACTTGCTGGATAGTAAGAGAAAGATCTTTGCCTAGTTGGGTATCCTGGAAATGAAACGTCTAGTCGCATTAGTTTACTCAGACAACTTTCAGGCAGAGCTTGTTAACTGTAGCGGACCTCTGGTTGGCCTGTGAGACCAGCCCCTTGGCCTGTTCTCACAGGCCTGTGTTGTATTCGGGGTAGTCCAGTCCAGGCCGGTACCTCTGTTGGGGGTACCAGCCAGTCCAGTCCAGTCCCGTCAGTCCACCGGGTTATACCCCAGCCAAAGTCTGTATTTCGGATCATTCTGCATTCGCACAGTTTGGAGTACGTGCGTTGGAGTCTCGCGCGGGAGCTGCGCTGTGCCATCTTGCTCCACTCTCATCCTCCATCTCCATCTCTATCCCAGGCGGAGCACCACACCTGGTGGGTCCGCCACAATGGTATCGGAGCGGGAACGTTCCCCGCTCCTACCCACCACACCGCACCGCACAACAGGGAAAACAGCAAAACCCGACACGTGGCGAGAAAAGATGAGCGGTGCCACGACGCGTGCACCCGACACATGGCGAGAAAAGACAAGCGGTGCCACGACGCGTGCGCGCAAGCGCCAAGGCCAAGGCCGCTGCACACGCACAGGGCCCACGGTGCTCGCCCCGCCCCGCTCTCGGATTAATTGTTATCAAGATCCGGGATGCTGCAGCTGCCAGGGTTTGAACCTAGGCAGGTGCTGGCCATGCACGTGCGTACCCACCTCTATAACACATTGGCCACAGTGTGTGCATGGGCTAGTAAGGCGGCACGCTGGTGTTGAAGGCGTGTCGTGCCAGCTACTTACCCCCCCCCGTGGAGCATCGGCCAGAGGCAACTATTTGCCCCCCTCCCCTCCTCCCCCCCCACACACGGCGGTGGGGGGACACCGTGGCTGCTGCTGCCTGTGCCCGTGGCCATCTGGAGTGCCACGTGGCAGCCTCTGCTGTGGACCATGAAGACCCCCTGATCGGGGGCTGCTCTACAGTGGCGAGGGTCTGCTCACACAGCACACCCTGGATCTGCAGTTCTGCTGCTAGGGGCTGATCAAGATCTCAGCCCCCTCCCTCCTCCAGTTGGCTTGCTGCAGTGAAGGCCAAGACCCTCCTGGTCTCGGTATACCTTGTGCCCTTGGAGACACCAAGGGCCAGGTATCATCTCTCTCTTCCCTCTCCCTACTAATCCACTTTCTCTACCTTTTCTCTCTCCTCTTACTGACCCCCTCCACTTCTTTCTCTTCTACCTCACTCACTTCCTTCTAATCACTCTCACTACTCATACCCCTCTCCCCACCTTACCTTTTTTCCCACCATCCACTATTTTATTATATTTTATTCATTTATTTTATTTTCTTTCTCCTCTTTTCTCTTTGCTTCTTGATCCCTTTCTCTCCCATTCTCTCACCCTTCATTGTTTATTTATTTTTCTCTTCCCCTCCCCCTCCATGGTTGCTATTCTTTTTTTTTTATAAGGTCATTGATACCCTACCCTAACCACTCGAACCCCCGGCTAGGTTTTTTTTAGGGTTTTTCTAGGGTTTAGGGTTCTCCTAACCCCCCTACTTCCCCTTTCCATTCGGGCAGCCTGGACCATCGCCACCCTTCCCCCTTTGCGGGCGCCCGCGCTCGACTCACTAGCGCCGCCCGTCGCTTTCTACCGCGGACCCCCCCTACGCCCTCCGCTCACACGGACCTTCTCTGCCCCCCTCCCGTCCGGCCCGTCACCTCCCCATGGCCGACGGCGTGTCACAAGCTGTCGACGCGGCGGCGACCTCGACACCGGGCTCCATACCCGTGCCGGCGGACCAGGGCCATCGGCCCCAGGGGGATCTGCACACCCTCCTCACCTCCCTCCTTGCGCCCTTACAGATGCAGGTGGCGACTCTTGCTGCTGGCCTGCGGCAACTCCAGGACGCTGGTCCTCCTTCCTCTCCCCACTCTCTCTCTTCCCCGGGCTCCCAATGCGGGTCCCCCGTCCTCCAACATGGTGGCCACGACGGAGCTTCCTCCTTCGCGGCCATCCTGGTGACCGTCCACGCTCCTAGCGCGACGGCCGCCACGGGCCAGGCCTTCCCTCACCCTACGGGCACACCCACCCAGATTCTGGTTACTACGGCCACCGGACCACATCCCTCTGCCGCGGTCTCAGCTTTTTCGGGTGCCCCGCTTCTCCCTCCCCGTCTCACGACCACAATGCCACCTGGCTCTCCCCCTCATGGGATGCCCCGCGCCACTCGTGCATCCACTTCCCCCACTTTTCCTCCTGCCACTCCTTGCTCGATCTACGTTCGACGTCTCGAGGACAAGCTTGCCCAGACCCGGGTCGACCTCGCCCTCTTACGCCTTCAGCCATCCTTACCCTCACAGGTGGCCGCGCCTTCGAGCGCACCCACTTCTTCCTCTACTCTTCCATCCACGCAGGCTCGCTTCCCCCGCCCTGCACCCCCTCCACCCCCATCCTACCTCCTTCCTACTCCCTCGGCTGTTGCGACCTATTCCACAGCAACTCCCTCGCAGCCTACCGATGTTGCCCCCACCGCTCCACCATGCGGCCCGGGCGTACAGTCAACTGCGCCCCCTTCTCCAGGACCTACGCTGACTTACTCGGTCGTAGCGTGGGCCTCTTCTCCTCGATCTCCTCGCTGCCAAAATGGTGTCGCACCGCTCGTACTCTTGACGGACATTGCCTTGTATGACGGTACAGGGATACGCGTGTCTCGGTGGCTGCAGTCTGCCACCCGCATGCTCCAGCTCATGGGCGTCCCACCCGACACGTGGGTGGCTCACCTCTCCACGCGCCTGCGCGGTGATCCTTTCGACGCCCAGGAGGATTTCTACACTCACTCCCTTCGTGAGGGTCGGACCCCGACCTTCGTGGATTTTCAGGTGTTCCTCGAGGATCGCTTCGGAGCCCGACATGACGTGACTAACGCCTTCGAGAGTGTCGTCACTAAACGCTGGTCCGACTCTACTGATGCTGCCGGCCTGGACCGCCACATCCAGGTCTTTCAGGACGCCCACCTCATTTGTGATGTGGCGTTCCTCCTCGAGGCTTCCCTTATTGATCGCTTCTTGGCCAGCCTTCCCCTTGAGTACCGCTCTGAGTTATGGCGGTACGACTTCACATCGGCCCCACAGGCCTACGAGGCTATCAGGGCTCATGAGCGGATGCGGGCCCGTCTTCACCCCGCTTCCCTCTCCTAGCCCCAGTGTATTGGCTACGCTCCCTCCTCCTCTTACGACACTTCCTAGCGTCGTTCTCCTTTCCACGGTCGTCCCCGCCGTTCCGCGCAGCAGGGCCGCCAGTTCTCGCGCCACTTCAGTGCGCTCGAGTATGGTGAGCATGACACTGTTGACCGATTGTCGCCTGAGGGTGACCATAGCGACGACCTCGACCTCTGCGAGGCCGTCCACTACCACCTGGAGGACTCTACCCTCCCTATAGTTGAGCGCCTCCAGCTCGCCCTCTCCACCCTCTCCCGGGCACGCAGCCGCTCTGGTCACGTTGGCGCGTCGCCCCCCGAGGTCCCTCAGCAGGACCTCCCTCAGGGCTTTGTCCCCCCTCGCGGTGTCCTTTCCGCTGAGGGGCGCGCGGCCATCTTGGGCCGGCGTGGGTGTTTGCGCTGTCGCCAGGACGGTCATACCTCCTCGCGGTGCCCTTACACTGCCGCCCTCGACCGCACTACGTTGAGCTCTCTCGCCAGCGTCGTGCTCAGTCCCCCCTTGACACCTCGCATCCCCGTGGCGCCTCCTTGTCACGCTGCAGTGTACACCTGCTCCCTCCTCAGTAGTCGGCTTCCCAACATCTCCGTCGCGGTTTGCCCCTCTCGCTACTGGAGTTGAGGTATCGCAGGACCCTACAAAGTGTACTCAGCCCTCTGTCGCAGTACCATCTGCGCCTCCGCAGACCATCGTCTCCCCTCCTACCTCTCCGCGGCTACCGACACATCGAGCCATTCGCTCAGCCCGTTGCAGCGAGCAGCTTGCGACTCGCGAGGACGTTATGTCCTCCCTTCTGGACTTGAGCATGCTCCAGGCTCGTCAGGAGCGACTCACCCTCCATGTCGCTGCACTGTGTCGCCTTCTCGCCTTCCTCTCTGACCCTGATCGCACCTTCCCGATCATTCCAGTACGACTGGGGACCTCCACGAGGGTGTACTGAGCGTTGTCAGATTTCGGCTCTCAGGGCGACTTCATTCACCCACGTGTGGTGAAGGAAGCCCGCTTACCCACGACAGGGTCTCCGACTCCCATCTCCATCACCCTAGGGGATGATAAGACCCAACGCTTCTTCGATCTGACGGTCACCGACCTCCCTTTCTTCCTCACTCTCGAGCCAACTGATTGTCCCCTGGCGTCTCGTCGCCACTGCTCCTCTGCACATTTCGATGTGATGGAGACGGGTTACGATTTCATTCTCGGTACTCCGTGGTCTCGTCGGTTTCGCAACACCGAGGCTGATTGTGCGACCAACACTCTCGTTCTCAGAACGAACTGTGGACAGACGTATCGCGTACCTTTTATAGGTACCACTGCGACACCACGCCCCGATCCTCCTCCCCCGGAGCCTTCCGTGCCCACACCATCTCCTACTATCACCGTCACCTCGCCTCGGCAGTTCGCCCACTTCATCCGACTGGACGACGTCACCTTCTTTACAGTGAAGGTTACGGATCTCTTGCACTATGATCCACCTTTTCCAGACACCGAGCTCATCTCTCTGGAGCTAGATCCTCCTATCTCTATGGCTTCCATCTCTACTTCCCTCCCTTCGTCGTTCGTTGAGTCCACCCCGCCGCCACGTGCTGACGCTGATGCCGAGGAACTTGCACGCTATATGGCCGACCTGGAGCCCGCAGTTCGTGACCTCATTCGAGAGTACCACGACGTTTTCCCATCGTCGTTCTCGTACGCCAGCATCCCATCGATGCGAGACGTCGAGCATTCCATCCAACTTGTGCCTTACTATCGTGTTCACCACCAGGCACCCTACAGACTCTCGATCCCCGAGGCCACCGAACTCGAGCGTCAGCTTGAGGAGCTCTTGAGACTGGGTTTCATTAAACCTGCAACTCCCTGTGGGGTGCACCCGTCCTCTTTGCTCGCAAAGCGGATGGAACTCATCGATTATCGCGGGCTCAACCGCTACAGGGTTAAGAACAACTACCCCATGCCTCGTTCCGACGAGTTGTTCGACCGCCTAGCAGGCAACCGCTTCTTTTACGAAGATTGGTCTTCGTAGCGGTTACCAATAGATCTGCGTCGTTGCAGCGGACCAGCGGAAGACAACGTTCCGATCGCGCTTCGGCCACTATGAATGTAAGGTGATGCCATTCGGCCTCACCAACGCACCCGCTACCTTCCAGAGGGCGATGAACGACATCTTCAGGGACATCCTGGAGCAATACGTTCTCGTCTACCTCGACAATATCTTGACCTACAGTCGTACCCCTGAGGAGCATCTTAAACACCTTCATGGCGTCCTTGACCGCTTGCGCAGACATAGCTTCTACGCCAAGCTGAGTAAGTGCTGCTTTGCCCAACACAAAGTGGATTTCTTAGGACACTACGTGTCTGACCAGGGTCTCCACATGGACGACGCGAAGATCACTGCTATTGCGGAGTGGCCCGTCCCCACATCCGCCAAGAAGCTTCGCAGCTTCCTAGGCCTCACTAGCTACTATAGTAATTTCATCCGGGGATACGCTAGGTATTCCTACGTCCTTACCTCCACCCTCCTCTGGAAGAACCCGCTATGGGCTTGGACACCCCTCCACGAGGACGCCTTCCGCGCCCTCAAGAAGGCGGTGACATGTGCACCGACCGGTTCTTCACCTACCCGATTTTGATCGCCCTCTTATCCTCACCACCAATGTGTCAGACTTTGTTGTAGGAGCAGTGCTTTCTCATACTTTCCCCTCCTCTCCTGATTCCTCTCATCCTCGCATCCCTCGCTTCCCACCCCCTACCCGTACCACAGCTTTCCGCCTGGTGCCATCTCGTCCAGCTACTGACGAGCCTTCTATTGGTATTCTCCTACCATCGTCGAGGACGTTACTGTCGAGTCTCGCTCAGGTGATTGTCTGATAGACGTCTACTCCCGTCAGCTCCTGCCCGTCGAGATAAACTACAACGCTGATGAACGTGAGGTTCTCGCAGTAGTTTATGTCGCTCGACACTGGTGTCACTACCTGCACGGGGCACCATTCACGGTGCGCACGGACAACTCTGTTGTCCAGCTTTCCTGACAAAGTCGAAGCTCACTCCTCGATAGGCTCGCTAGTGGCGCGACCTTTCCGAGTTTAGTTTCACCACTGAGTAAATTAAGGGTGACTAATCGGGTCGCAGATGCCTTATCCCGGCGCCCTGACCATGATCTGGAGCAGATCCAGCTTGCTGCCATCTCGGTCACCACCGTCCACCACTCGGTGATCGACGAKTTTTGCACCCAGAACCGCCACTGCCCCGATTATCGTGACATCCATGTGACCCTTCGGAGTGGCAAGACCGTCCCGAACTACTCTCTCAGGGACAACGGCCTTGTGTATTGGCACAGTTCACAGGGCACCAGAGAGCCCCGTATTTGCGTTCCCTTCACTGGACAGCTACGTGTCCGGGCAGTAGCAAAGTTCCATGACCAGGCAGCCGCCGGTCATATGGGTTTTTACAAGACGTTGGCTCGTTTGAGCCGCCTGTATGTCTGGCCGAAGCGCAAGGACTTTGTGAGGACTACGTCGCAGAGTGTCCCACTTGTCAGGAGGTGAACAATGCGAACCACCTACCTTATGGTTTGCTCCAGCTTCTTCCTATCCCTGAGGGTCGTTGCCAGTCCATCTCGATGGACTTTATCGGTTCTCTTCGTCCTCCGATCCCCCGCGGTCATGATGCTATCCTGGTGGTCGTCGATCGCTTCACGAAGTGCGAACGCTTTGTTCCATGCCGCTATGCCATCAGTGCACGTGAGGTCGCCGACATCATGTTTGACCGAGTCGTGCGTGACCACGACTTACCTCCGAGCATCATATCTGACTTCGGCGACGGCTCCACGATGTGTACGGCACCCAGCTCCACTTCTCCTCGTCTTGCCATCCCAGACTGATGGTCAGACCGAGGTCACGAACTGTACTCTCGGAGATATTCCCTGAAAGATTGTTTGTGACCAGCAGTGGGATCTCTGTCATGCCCACGCGGAGATAGCCTACAACCACGCCGTCTCGCCAGCCACGGGGATGTCGCCTTACTATTGCGACCTCGGCTATCACCCTTGTGTTCCGCGGACTTCCTTCGATCGTCACAGATGCACCCGACACGAGTTGTCCCGCGTTGGATGATTGGGTTGCACACATGACGTCGATCATGAAGACCATGCATGAGCACATAGCCGCTTCTCAGACTTGCATGGCCGCACGTGCGAACCGATCGAGGATGGATCATCCATTCAAAGTCAGTGATGATGTGCTTATCGACGCCCGCCACTTACAGCTCGAAGCGGACACGCTTCACAAGTTCCGGCTTCGCTTCTTTGGCTCATGCCTCATTCTCCAGGTCGTCGGTTCTGATACGGCATCTAGCCCGGCCAACTTCCGTGTGAAGCTGCCCGACTACCTACACCAGGCTCGTGTGCACGATGTCTACCACGTCTCGTTACTGCGTCCCTACCGCAGACCATGTGAGCGTTTCGCTGGACGACCATACAAGCGCCCTCCACCCATCATGATGGACGACCAGGAGGAGTTAATCGTTTCAGACATCACTGGTCGCCGAGTCACCGACGACAACCCTCCTCATGTCGAGTATCTCGTACGTTGGAAGGGTTACCCTGATGAGGAGGCTACTTGGGAGCCCCTCGAGCACTTGCAGCACGCTCGCATGTTGGTGCGTGCCTATGACCCTGCACGTCGTGATGGGTTGACGGCTCCTCCTCAGCCCACTGACCCTCCTCCTTCTCCCTTGGTTGAGGAAACCGCTGAAGTCGAGCCTGCTCCATCTGAGGCAGACCTTCAGCAGCATCCGGAGGCTTTTAAGCGTCTACAACACACTCGTCGTCGTCCTGCTCGGTACGACGATTGACTCTGACTTATCTTCCCACGTCTTTGATTTCTCAGTAATCCATCCACTCCAGTTTTGCCACTTTAGCTCGTCGACGTTGCGGCTCTTCCTCGACGGTATTCTAGACTTCTCATCATGGACGTCATCGGCAGCTTCATGGACTTCGTCACGATCAGCTTTGCCTACTTCAGACGTCGTCACTCTCTTACCACCTTACATGTACAGTACCCTGGTTGTGTCGCATGATGGTCCCCTTTCGTCAGGTTCCTTTGAGTAGGGCTCTCCCTTGGTATACGCATAGGCATCGGGACCGTAGCGTTGCCCTGGCTTCCCAACGTACGGTTCTAGCTCTGACTTCCTTCACTTTAGGAGTCATGTGCATGATTCCCTTACCCATCACTTTTTCTACCCTCTGCCGGTCCTCACGCCCTAGTTAGGCAGCCTTGCATGCTTCATCTAGGTGCGCCCAGTATACCAGGCTCCCTTATTCCCTTGCATGGTCGACCCTCCATAGCGGTCACCCCTTCAGTCGAGCATTACCCGCCCTGATGGTCTATCTGTTAGGGTCATTGGTTCTATTCGCTCCCAATGCCCTACCCTCATGGAGCCTGATGACATGTGTCTCTCTGTCATTTTGTGTGGATGTCCTTAGGAGTTTATCGACCCCTAGGCTGCATTCGCCACCCTCAGAGACCATCCCACCCTTTGGTTGCGACACACTTCTCCTATGACATATGGTTGTCTTGTTGTTGCTTTGTTGCTCTCAGACTGAGGCTACTACCTTTAACATTTCTAGGATTTAGTCGTTTCTGCTTTTGCTATTCGTCGGACTTATACACTAGTGAGTTGTTTCCTGACTGAGGCTACTGCCTCCAAAATTCTAGGATTTAGTTGTCATTACTTTTTGCTTTCCTAGGACATGTATACTAGTTAGTTGATTCTGCTTTCACTTAGGCTGTTAGCTGTGACATTGTTGTTTTTGTGACATTTTTTATCCTAGGTTGCATCACATGGACTCAACATGGTGCTTGCTCCGCATCCTAGACTACTCGGGTTTTCTTTTTCTTTGGTAGAGTTTTGCTTCTTGGCGGAAGCGTGCTTGTATCTAGGCGATCCATCACAGGTCGAGGATCGTGTAGCGGACCTCTGGTTGGCCTATGAGACCAACCCCTTGGCGTGTTCTCACAGGCCTGTGTTGTATTCAGGGTAGTCCAGGCCAGGCCAGTACCTCTGTCGGTACCAGCCAGTCCAGTCCAGTCCAGTCAGTCCGCTGGGGTATACCCCAGCCAGAGTCTGTATTTCGGATAATTCTGCATTCGCACAGTTTGGAGTACGTGCGTTGGAGTCTCGCGTGGGAGCTACGCTGTGCCATTTTGCTCCACTCTCATCCTCCATCTCCATCCTTATCCCAGGCTGAGCACCACACCTGGTGGGTCCGCCACATTATCCAACTGTTGAAGAAGCAGTGAGCAAACTAGTAAATGTTACTAATATGTGACGTCAAGCAATCACAACAGTACAAGTTCACAACGAATCTCACTGCCAGGACCCCCGACTGTCTGTTGAGATTTCCTACCAACAACGTGCTATGGGAGCTCTCTACTCACAGTCTTCGATCTCCATAAATCTTAGCGAACTGGTCATTATCTAAACTTGCCACAATTAATAGAGACTTGTGATGAACCGAGAATCAACTGTTGCTAGTTTTGTTGTGTCGCAAATTTGAATTGGATATCCTAACCAGAGTCATTCTCGTCTCACCATGATCACAAAGTAACTGCTGATTATAGGTGAAAAGTAATGTTCGTTGATGAAAGAGACGTTAGAGTGCATGCAACACATACATCGTACGTGGACTGTAGGGAGGGTTTTGTTAACCTCTACCTTCGCTCACGTCTCATACATAACATTATTTGGGTATTGATTTCAGTTGCATTTGACCACAGAGTGGAACATCATATAGCCTTCAATTCATGTGCTATTTAGAATACAGTCAAACGTGATTCGACACTGGAATCAATTGAAAAAAGTTTTCGTACATCTTACAGAAACGAGGGTGCTTGCTCATAAATACAGATATGAAATTATCTCAATTTTGCAGCGAGCTGGTCTTTGACTGCTCGTCTTAGCTCTTTCAGGGATAACCAGAGCAATAGGTGTCGAAACCCTTTATTATGATTAAGAGGTCTCGATCAAACTCATCAATAAATCATTCGATCATTGGGGCATGTTTAAGTTTTGCGCTTGCTTTCGGGATAGGACATATGCTTACCATTCTTGTCTATTGAACACAAATTAATGGAATCGAGAGGGTCGATAGACTCGATACTTAATCCCCATCAAGTAAGAATTTGACCAGCAGGTAAGCGATTCTCTTAAGAACCTTGTTACTTTTGCTCATCAAGGAGACACTGGCAAAGCAGAATCATTCGCAAAAGAGTGCTTCTAATTCAAATAGGCCAGAGATTGCTCAACTCTGGCTTGTCATACGGGGCAACCTACCAAACTTGCCTAATTAGATCGAGGCCAGCTCAATCATTGCTTATTGCTTAAAAAAAAAAAAAAAAAAAGCTTGAAGGCGATAATAGAGGAAACTAAGAAAGAGAAGCGTTCCTTTTAAAACCAAGAACTTTCGTGACTGACTTCTCTTTTGTCGACAAAGAGTGCGAGTGGAGAAGACTTTGAAAAACAAGAAAGCAAATACATATGTCAAGCTAGGATGAAGAAAGAAGGCAGAGCGAAGCATTTAAGGGAACCAAATCTTATCTGCTAGCATGGTCTCAATTCGCTTAGAGTCCAGCCTTTCACCAACTGGTCAACCAGTTCACGCCAGGTCCTGACAATCCCATTTGAGAACTCAACCACAAGGATTATTTGCCTACAAACACTTGGAACTTGCGCATAGCTGGCCAGAAATAATCCAAAATGTCAAGATTTGAGAAGTTAACCAATAAGAAGCGGTTTCAATGAAAATTACCCCATTCGCTCGGACTGCAAAACTTGTTACCTAGTGGCAAGCGCACAAGAAAGCTGACGAGAAACGTGGACTTGTTCGACCAACATCAATCTAGAGTTCGCCACTCCTTCTGACTAATCTACACTCCCAACTCATGCTTTGTCAGTAACCTGTGATCCGGATGTCTGCAGATGACACGAGTAAAGTGACTACGGAGATCTCATGCACGTGCACTTGTTTAAGCAATTGGTGCTAGGTTCAGTCTCGTACTCACTCTCACAGATTGACCGTTACATCTTTATTTTTTCCCTTGTAACAGTTTCACGAACTCAACGCCTTCATCATTAGTCGTCTTACACTAGCTTAGTACTTGAGGACACACACGACAACCAACGGGAGCGTGTAGATAAATGTTGTTGACGTCAGCTACTCGCTTTCGTGTTCTTGCTCACATGAGAGTCTGGCTCTATTCACGTACATACTGATAATACCTTGCTAGCTCATCATCTTTTATATTGTCGTAATAGAGATCAATCTAACAATGACTGGTTTCCTAGATCGAACGAAAAGGTAGGTGACGTCAACCACACCAAGCATGAGTATTTTAACCCCAGCACACCCGAACCTTGATTTCCTTCATATAACCTTCTTGCTTCTCGGTAACTTCCTCACCGCCCTTGGACCCTCTTTACTCCAAGTGACACTGACAATGCTGGCTACTCAGTGTGTCTTATACTTCTCATACTAGTAATTCGAGTGAAGTCAACTACTCTCTTGTGTGTAGTATTCTCTTGAAAGTCCGGCTTCGCGTTACTACGCTGTCCACAAAATGCTCAACTAGTCTTTGGCCGGTGTAGTGACTAGTCTATGGCAGAAGACGAGAATACTGAAGCATACTGACAAGCAAGGAACTAAAGCAGATGACTGTCACGACTCATTAGTACTGAGAACTCCACAGGAATCTGGTTCCTCTCTTGAGTGACCACTCCTCTTAGGTTTGAACACATAGCGTCAACTCGACACTTCTCCACCCCATGGTGGTCTCAACACGGGAGATGACGTTCGTCGAATCATCAGCTCGCCACTTCACGGGAACCCCTTGACTCTCTATCTTTGTGTGATGCATGTTTTCCCTATATCGACCGACTGTGTCCTTCTTGCCCATTGTTCATAACTGTCTCGTCCTCAGTCTTGTCGTCACAGTAAAGCTAAACTCATTCGAATGTTGTTGACATCAACAGTAACCTGCAGGCATACTTCTCGCGAACGTTTCTCACGAAACCTAGTCCACCAAATGCGTCCACTCGCCCACTACAATAGCAACCTCAAATCCTCGCAACAAGGATGGTGCACGGGAAGAAGAGTTGGATCGAGCCGAAACTCGGATGATGTCAAAAAGGCACATAGCTCTCGCATTCTCATCCCTTTGTTCAAAAAAAGAGCACGTCACTGGTGACATCGACAATTAGAGGAGCACATAGCTTTCTCCCACAGGTATGCCTTCAACTCTATCTCGCCTCCTCTGTGCGCACGTCGCTTCCGCCCCTCGTCCCTGTCTCTCTCTCTTTGATCGAGTCCGCTGTCCGCCGCTTGTAACCGCCTCGTGGCTTCAAAGCCTCTCTCCCGGTGAGCTGGCCTCAGGGCCATTTTCCGCATGCTCGGCCGGCGGGTCGTCTCGCTGCCATTGAGCCCATCCGTGCCAGGATTGGGTTTCCGTGTCACTCGCTCCGGACTCAGCCTCAAAGTCCCTGTCTAGCTGTGCCTGTTCCGACCCAGTAGTTCCGGTTAAAGTCTCTTCCTCATGGTACGTTACCGTGACCTGCAACATAGCGGTCACTCTGTCTCGCTTACGTCTTCGCTCAGCCCGGTTTCGGGCCTCAGTAACTGCGCCCTGTACTGCCTCGTCTTCTCTCATTTCTTGCTCCTTACCGTCATAAATATTAATTTTCAATTTCACTAGCCAGTCGTACTTACTGTAGTTTAGGCTAGCGTCTACCACGGCTCCCCTTTCGGCCTTAGGT